GTCACGCAGCACGTCAGGCACAGCATCCCGTACATGCACGCCTCCTCGTTCGACGGCGTGACCGCCAAGATGGCCAGCAGGCAGAACGAAGGTTACGTAACCAGTCTCTCGACCTTTCCGTTGGTGCTGGCTTCCGTCGACCCGAGGGACGCGGACGGCGCCAACCGCTGTCCGCCGACCGGCACCAAGAACGGCACGACGTACTTCGAGAACGTCGTTGTCGTGAACGGGAGAAACGTCGAGTGGAATCGTTCGTCCGATTGCTTTTCTAGATTCCTGACATGCGCCAGGGTCCTGCTGTGCTGCCACCCAAGATCCGATTTCGTGAGAAGTCCGTTTCGCAGTTCGACGCCGATCGTCGACGCCTTCGCAGAATTGCTCTTCGATCGGGAGGTCAGGACCTTCACCGAAGACTCTGCGGACGATAGAGAAGATCAGCAGTCGTCCTCGCAACCGCCGCCTCCACCTCGGCAGAGATCGTTTCCGTGCAGATTGCCCAAACCGTTTCGGAAGAGCTCCCGAAGTTTCGTCAAGAATTCGACGACGATTGCGACGAGATCGAAGTGCGCTTTTGAATCGTCAACCCGTCGGACGTTGGACCGCACTTCCCTTCGGAATTCGTCGGTGACACGTTTTCGAACACGGGACGCGCGCTTTCCCCTCTGAAGAGGATAATGTTCTTTCTGAGATCGGACAAGACGGGCACGGCATCCGAGAACCACACTCTCTCCGACGAACACAGACGGACGCTGGTTGCCGTTAACGGGGTCAGACTACATCCGCCGTCTTAAAAACAAAAAATTAAACTTAATATTGGTTTAAGAAAAGAAGAAACAATAAATTCAGACATACAAAATATTTCTTTCTGTTTTTTTCTTTTATTAGAATTTCAACACATTTCTTTTAGTATTTCTTGTCCTAAACGTAAAAAAGAAACCAGGCCATACACGATAGATAGACGTGCAGGCTCGGACGAGCGGCAGTGTCCCGCAAGTGACAACAATAAAAAAAACTGGTGTCTTTTTCTTCTAAACGGAGGATCGTTAAATTCTATCTAGATAGTACCGGATGCCTTCATGGCTGACAAGAATCCACAAACATTCCTCTTTTTTCGACGGAATTGCTGTCATTTTCAGCACCATTCCTGTTAAAAATTCGATAGAAATGCTCAATGTCTCTAAGAATCAAATGAATCCCATGGCAGATATTACAGTTTTGGTTAGATGGCCGATGAGCTCGATAACGGTCCAATGATTTATTGCTGGCAAAAGAGTGTACACGACGATCAGCATAATGATATCCAATTGAAGCAGATGGCACGTCTCAAGGTTCGATGCGATTGCCAACTCTTCTATGAAATATCGAACGGTAATTTTCAAAACTGTGTAAAAAAAATCGAAAATTAACAAAATCCTCGAAAGCTTGACCATTTGGCCAGGGCGCCCATTACCCGTCCGTTTAGCTATTGCTGCCAAACATTTGTACAAGACAATTAGCGAAACGATAATCTTCAGCAGGTGCATTGTAACTGACTGGTGCCGATCAACGTCTATTAATTCCAATGGAATGTACAAGATCGTAGATTTATTAGATGGAATGTCGTGACGTCATCGGTACGTCTCTTCTACGTCATCGGTGCACGGATCGATCGTTCAGTTGCTCTTCGGTCCGCGTACATGCCTGTGTCACGACGTCGCTCCGGTGTACGCGACGTCTTTCAATGATCGTTTCGAAAATCGGAGAGATTGGAAGTCGTGTAGGCGACGGCGTACTCGATGCCGGTCTCGTGCACCCGACGACGTACACGACTCAGTTGTTTGACGACGGTCAGGTGTACGCGACAAGGGGTACACGGCAACCATGATTCGATCCAAGTCTTCGATTAAATTTTAAAATCGTGTACGCAACGGCGTACCCGGCGCACCCTGCACACTGGCGTGTAAGCGACAGTCGTCCACACGACTCAGTGTCCGGCGTCGACCACGATCGAACGACGCCGATCCGAATAGAGCCACGATGTACACCACACCCGGGATTCGATCCACATCCTCGATTCAATTTGTCAGTCTTGAACGAGACGACGTGCACTGCACCGTTTCGGTGAACGCGACGGTGTGTTCACGAGATTCGATTCACTTCGGAGTTCGTGCACGGCACACTGTCGTGTACGCCAAGACGAGCATGCGGGACGTCGGACGAGCGTGCACGGATCGATCTTTCGGTTGCTCTTCGGTCCGCGCACACGGCGGTGACGCGACTCCGGCTCCGGTTTCCAACTTCGTTCGAACCCCGGAGGGATTGGAAGCTGTGGAGGGGACGGCGTACTCAACGCCGGTCTCCGGCACTAGACGGCGTACACGACACGGTTCCACATTTTTTATTCATTTTCAACTTTTCAAAATCGCTTACCCAACGCCGGTCTCTCGTACGCAAACTCAGCGATCGTGGGTTCGATTCCCACACGGGGCAAGTTTTTTTTAAAATTTTTTTTTAAGGTCGTGGGTTCGATTCCCACACGAGCCATGTTTTTTTAAAAATTTTTATAAGGCAGTTAACTTGATGGTGGATAATGATAGCAAACCTGGAGGTTGTGGGTTCGATTCCCACACGAACTCATTTTTTTTAAAGGCTGAAGGTGGATAATGAATAGCAAACCTGGTAGTTGTGTGTTCAATTCCCACACGAACCAATTTTTAAAATTTTTTTAAGGCAGTTTAGTTGATGGTGCATAATAAATAGCAA